TTTATTAAAAAAAAAAAATCAAAAAAAAAATCAAAAGGGGGGAGGGGTTTTCACAAAAATCATACACAAAACATACATATTTAACAAACTCAAGGGGGGTTTAACCCCGAACCCCCCCCCCCCCCCCCCACCCCACCCCACCCCTGCGTACGCGCCTGACAGCAGCTTCTGCTCTTGAACAGTATAAGAGACAGCTGGCTGGGATAACTCTGCGTCAAAACTAGCTGGAGAAGAAATCATTTTTACTTGCACAATGAACATTTTTCACTACTTAATTCTAAAACCGTTTGGAAACTCTTTTTTGGAGGCTCACACAATGCAGCATGGCACACTCATTCACAGCACTACACAACAGTACGAAAATACTTTACCCAGAGGACTGTACTTGCAATGGAAGAAGAAGAAGAGCGAAATATCGGTCGGCGCGATTTTCACATTTTCGAGGGCAAAAAACTAAGAAAAGAAATTGTGCTCACTAAGACAACAACCCCCAGGCAACTACCCCGGGTAACTACCCCCACGGCAACTACCACCAGACAATTACCCCCTACGACAACCGTTCTCTCGGACAAACCACCCCCGGACAACTATCCTAGGGGTAGCTGTCTGGGGTCCGGGGGTAGTTGTTCGAGGGGTAGTTGCCCTATGGGGTAGTTAACTGGGAATGGTTATCCGGGGGTGGATGTCCAGGGGGTAGGTGTCCGGATACGACATAGAGATAGGGGACTGCAAACTTGTGATTTAATAGAGGACTTGCGATTTATTCGGATCAAACGCTTGTACGTTAACCCTAATAAGGCCGGGCTATTTGGAGTCTTACTACGGCCGGGGGGGGGGGGGGCATTATGGCCCCCCCCCCCTAAGATCTCGGCCGTGAAATGGCCGATCTCCGCGAAAATTTGCACGCATGTCAGGTGAAGTGTATAGAACAATATGATAATTTCAATTTTTTGAAAAAAATCCCTCTTTTGCATATTTATGGTAATTTATGCAAATAACGTCATAAAATCACATTTTTACCCATAAATCCTATATTATTCATATTTAAGCATTCTTTTTCACTACATATATTCATTAGACCATTTGGAACAATAATACGACAAAAAAAATTGGAAGAGCCAGCTTATTCCTTATGTTATCTCTTGTTTTGATAATTTCTTATGTATTTCATTGTTTTTTTAACTTATTTTTGTTATTGTTTTTTTTTTTTTTTCATTTCTTCCTACAATTCAACTATTTTGACTCCCAAAACAACCACCTAAACTTTAAACAAGACCCAATAACCAATGTTTGATCTATTTTTAGGAAAAATGACATTTCCATATGTTTTGTACACAAATCACAAAAATGAGCGATTTTCGGGCTGACATGCAAAGACAAAAGGTCACGTGACCTTGTAACTATAGGTCCGATTTTTTTTTTAATTTTTTTTAAAGATGCGCAAGACTCTAAAGAAAAAAGTCAGCGAGCGGCGAGGCGCCATCCATATGCGTTCTCGAACAATCAGAAAAATCGTGGAGGGGGGGGGGCCATAATGGCCCCCCCGGCCTTATTAGGGTTAACTCGACGAAAGGCGTTGGTTGAACTAATTCCATGCATATCACTTTAGTTGCTAAGAATACGGTCATTTACGGGGTGCACGGAGCGTCCGATATAGGTCAAGTGAAAATATTCAGAAAATCAACTAGCCTTGACCGGCTTTATAAAATTCTGCCGTCACGAACCGCACAGAACCTAGACCTAGATAAATTGGACATTGAAAGATCATGATTAAGTTAACCAGACGTCACTAACAACAACAAATTTTGACGAGTGCAACTTGCATTTAATTAGGTTTACAGACGTATATCAATCAGATATGATTATTTACGTTTCGATGTCGTCTTTTAACGTCACCATCCGAAAGACGTGACTCAATTTTGAACTGGGGTCCACCTTAACCAGTTTGTAGGCGAAGACAGAGGGCTAACCATGCACGTGGGGTAACCTCGCTAGTCATAAGGACCGCCAGTCATAACGTGGGACTTCCTACACGCCGTGAAGGACCGCTATTCATAAAACGGAAAGGGGGTCACTATTTACAAAGGCGTAAAGTCCGCTATTCATAGTGTGAGATGAGGGTCGCTATTTATATTTCACATTGAGGGTCATTACTCATATGGATCGCTATTCATAATACGAAATCAGGGTCGCAATGGAAGAAGGGGCGCTCTTCATAATTCACTTTGAGGGTCACTACTCTTAATGACCGCTATTCATAAGACAGGATGAGGGTCGCTATTCATAAAACGAGAAGAGGGTCTTAGCTACCCTCTACCCGTATTATAAATAGGGACCCCTATGAATAACGACCCCGATTTTGTATTTTGTATAGCGACCCTCTTCTCATATTATGAATATCGACCCCTCTTCTTCCATTATGAAAAGTGGTCCTTCAGAATAATTACCCTTTTCTCAAATTATGAATAGCGGTCCTTACAAATAATGACCCTTTTATGAAAAGCGAGCGGACCCCGTGAACGTACGGCAATACCAACTCAAGCTGACGATTTCATACGACGGTGGAGTTTCAAAGGTAAGTGATTTTTACTTCTGCCGATATTTCGAGCTCTAATTTCTATACCCAGTTTAATGTTAAAATAGAAATAAACATTTTAAAATGAAAACCTTGATCACATTATTTTTTCACATTTGTTTTTCACGGCGTGAAAATACTTTAATAATGAGAAAAACTGTAAAAGTGATTATAGTGTGATATTCACAGGGGGGGGGGATCTAAAAAATAAAAATGAATTAATTAAACAAAAATCTAAAGAAAACACTATTCCTGTCGTAATTTTGGAAACCACTTTGTGACCCAATGACCCTATTATCTAAAACTAGTTCCAGCCTTTCCGACAGTTCATCGTTACTTTCTATTGCAAACTACGTCATAACGAAATTTGCAGGACTCTGAAAACCTTAATTGATTGGGGGAATTTCAACATGCAATTTAAGCTTCTATCAACCTTAAAATTATCACAATTTAAATTAAACAAGCTTTTATCGACTTGTGTGAACTGTGCTCAAGCTAAGTGATTCTAAATACAATGTATCGCTGTCCGCTTCTTTGAGATCACCGGAGCGAAGACAGGTAAGCCTTCCCCTTTTGAAGAAATTTTACCTCTCGAATGTGTTTGAATAATATTTCCACCACAATATCAGCCCACGTAAAAGCCACATTCCGTGTCTTTTGAGAGAGAGAGAGAGAGAGAGAGAGAGAGAGATAGAGGGACGTTTATATATATTATAATTGTTCTTATTCTCTTGCACGTGTGAGAATATCATACTTGCATTATGCCGAGAAAATGATTGCTTTAAAAAAAAAAAGTTTTCATATATTTCAGATTGGACCAGACGAAGGTCACTACTTTTAAATTCTGTTGCTTCATATTAATTTTGTGTAGTTCCACTTACCCATAATGTGAGTCTAGTTCTTTGCATTATCAGTTTGTTTTCAGCGAGACGATATAATTGTGTGGTATAATGGTTCATCCACTTGACTCTCAATCCAAGGTTGAGGGTTCGAATATCAGCCCGACTAATGGCCTTTGGAAAGACATTAATCCTGGGGCCCTCACGAAGAACAGCATTAAAGCTGACGAGGCTTCCCTAGGTTAACAAAAATTGATATTACATGTATTATTATTATTATTATTGTTATTATCATAATTGATTTTAATGTTTCCAATATTTATAGTGGTAATAACCTACTTATTTCCAACATAATTCACCAATCGGAATAATTCCTGCTAACCGTTCCAGGGTAATTACACGAATCGTACTCAATTTGACTTCATCTTCAAGCACGCAATGCAATTTTACTCCAACAATATAAATAGAGATTGACGGTAGAGAGTCAGGTTTTTGTTTTGCTTTTGTTTTTGGTATTTCCCCCTCTATTTAGGAATTATTTTTTGGGGGGTAAAATCACCTTTTTAAACAACAATATTATAATTTTACTGTATTTTTTGTTTCGGTGGCAGCACTCATAAAGCCTTTGGCTTACCTAGCTGTCTTCAAATTCATATTCTTGGTGTTTTTCGTTTTCTATTGGAAATGTTTTTTCTGTAACTTGTGAATTATTTTTTGTACTATAATTTTTTTATGATGTTTTTATGATGAATGAAATATAGATCAGTTTCAATTTGACTGTTAGTGGGATTCCTTCATAGTTATGTATACCTACGTATAAATGAATAGACTAGTTTGTAGCTTTGGTACAAATTACCCCCAAATATCCTCGGATCTTTTATTCACGGAGACGTTTGTGCATGTTAGAATAATCACTAACAATTAGTGATGGTGCTTCATGAATACTTTTTATTTCCCCTCTTGAGAAAAATACTTCCATCTGTGTATAATAGAATTTGCCGTAGATGAATAAAATAAAGAATAGCGATTACAAAACTTTCATGGGCACGAATCCATTATTTGTCTCGATGGGTATTACAATTTTGTTACAAACGACCTATATTTACTCACGCGCAGATTGCATCTAAACGGACTGGCTCATTTAATCAATAAAACCCTTAGGGGATATTGATTTATTCATTTTAAGTCAGGTATAGGAAACAAAAGACGACAAGCGACAACTCGCTTTCATTTCCAAAAAAACCCTGATCTTTACCATATCACGTATAGCATGTATAATTGCTATTTCACCTTAATGCGAAACATATACATACTGTTGTATTTTGTTGTGTTGTCGATCTCCTAACTTAACAAGTATTGTTATTGTTTTGAATAATTATGTGCTAAGGTAAAATCTAAAACCTTCTTCATGTCGTTTACTGAGCAGTAGTAACACTCTCTTTTCACAGTTGTAATGGCAATGCCATATGGCATGTAATTATGGCTTGCATTTTCTGATAAAACATGGGTAACATAATGTTTACGCACGAGTGTCTACGAAAAATATGCATTGTATCTTCCTCAAAAGCATTTTCCTTCTTCTTTCAGTATAGTACAGACCGCCGTTGGCGTATTATCGTACCTTGTGCCGAGTGCCGTGCCGAGCGTAAAGTGCAAGTAAAAAGAATCTAAAGGAATTATATGTGCAGCTGAAAAACCGTCTGAAGCTCTACTGAGATTAATGTATTGCACCTTCTGCTTGAAACGTTCCAAAGAGGTGCAATTGACGACAGCAAATGGTAAGGAGTTCCACAGTCGAAACGTATCTGGGTAAAATGTGGTTTGGAATATATAGCAGAGTTCGGGCAAATGGGACCTGAAAGTTCTGTGGATTTTTACGGGTTCGTGGACCAACAACCGGTATGAAGTAGCTAGATGAATGGAAGATCAACCAGGCCGTGGAGTATGCTGTAAACTATGCATACCCTCTGCCAGGGCTCAAATTATTTTTTGTCCACGGGGGCTCTTTCCCCCAAAAAAATAGAGCCCCCGTGATAATTATTTCTAATGACAGCTCTTTTAGGAGTTGTGCTGGAAGTTTGTCTAGCTAGCTGGTAGTTTGTAGACACCAGCCGGTGAGATCCGGATTTCATCCATGTCTGGAAATGGACTCGGTCCTTAACCTTCATGGTTTTAATGACTTCATTCCTGTTAAATAATGATGTAAACTTGTGATTCAGTATGCTGTCTGAATAATCTTCCCATTGGTGTCCTTTAGTGGGGCTGCTCCAGTACTGTCGTTCCTTTTACTGTTGATGAAACTCCAGAATCGTCACCTGAGGTTAGCCGTGGAGTCGAGGTTGATGATGTTGTTTATGTATCCACTGTAGGCTCCATAATTATCGAAACGTTTGGGTGACTGAACAGTGCATGTTTTATTACCAAAAAAGGTTATATGGAGAACGACGTGAAAACACGTTTTTTAAATAAATAAAACATCCATCTACATTATGCCAAAAGTACCATATAGTTTTACCTAGTTTGACTAATATAATACGACAAAGACTATGTTCTTTCGGGTAAAGCAAACAAATTACCATTTCATTTTGATTTACTATTGCGACAGAGCTTTATTACCATGTCACAATTTGGCATACCGCCTCTTTCTAGTTTTTAGTTTGAGAAAGTCATTTTTCTATGTAATTTAATCTTTCCAACCATAAAAGACTCGTATCGATTGAACAATGTTATCCCCTGCGTGCCGCGTCGCCGGTTTTGCTTGTGACTGGATCGCTAATTCAGTCGATAGTGGATTTTGCACCGTATTGATTATATCAAGGATTTTAAGTTTTCAAAGTCAAAATGCACCAGGCAGGTACGTCCAATGTGTAACATATTATATTTGTATGCAGTAGTTCAAAATAGACTATATTAGTTAAATTATTAAAATTGACAAGAATAATTTCGATTTTCTTTCCAGCCAGCCATCATGGTGGATGCTGTACCTATCATCGATTTCTCAGCTTACAGTTTGGATCGTGAGAGTCCAGATCCTGAAGGATTCCAGAAGCTCATTGATGATGTACATCAAGCTCTCACTACCATCGGTTTCATGTACCTCAAGAACTTCGGAATTCCAGCCCAAAAGGTAAATAAATGCGAAACAAGTATTTCTTTTCCTTTTTTTTATATTTTTTATTGCTGTCGATATTTTATCATGACTGGGCATGTTACAATACAGATCACTATACTTATGCATAGGGTGATGTAGACAAATCGGGGGCGTAGGCCTACTCTGGGCCCAGCCACTTTGGGGGCAATGGCTTCTTGGTGATAAGGGGGGGGGGGGTGGGGCGCGCAAAACTATTTGGATTAGAATGTGAATTAACAAGGTTATCGATTAAGGAGGGGTTTGGAAGGGGATCTGCATTTTATGTTCACCCCCTCTCCTTCTTTCTCCTTCTGTTTTTTCACTTCTGTTTTTCACTTCTGTTTTTCACCTAACGTTAGGTAGGGGGGGGGGTAGGTGTGTCCTGTGGTTACGCTTTTGTAGGGAGTAAACGAAATACGTTGAACACCTTTAGAATGAAAAATGAGTGTAATAGCTTATGGTTATGTATAATTTGTTAAAGATTTAGTCTGTTCCTCCATTATTATTTGTTTTACTAGTAAGTGCAAATATATTCTTCAGTTATTGTGCAACGGCGTATCCGTTCCTTTGTTCAGGAGGGACACAATATTTCACCGCAATACCGTAATCCACATAGTTCAGCAAGGAAACGACTGAGGCTTTGTCTAGATAATTATGGCGCCGAAAAAAGACACAGTGGTTTTTTGGCTAACGTGTAAGTGAAAACGTTAAAACGTAACGCAGATGAACATTTTCTTATATGTGATCGAGCGCAGCGAGCGACAATTTCGTGACATGTCGTATCAATTAAAATGTTATACATTATCCTCCAGATAAATGATGCCTTCGCCTATTCCAAGATGTTCTTCTCCTTGCCTCTCGATGAGAAAATGACGTGTGTCGGGGAACATTGTTTCCATGGTTACTATCAGATGGAAAAAGAAGGGTATGATAAAGAATTGTCATTTTATACACTCTCCTTTATTTTGTAAGGGTCTTCTTTTTTCTAAAGTAAAGTTATTGTATAAAGTTTCTAACTCAGTTAACATGATGCGACAGATTGTGTAGCAGCTGGTAGAGCCAGTTATTAATGGTAATTCGTGATTTTTAGTTCCTCCTGGGACCTGTAACATAATGAGTTGCGATTAGTTTGGGGAGGGGCGATTGTCTCTTTCCCGCAATATATTTAGCCTTGTTCTGTTAATTAACTCTTGTATCAATTTATTCATTATACATATATTTTTTAAATATATCTATCTATTTAGTACTTTTTTTTTATATACTTAGTTATTCATTGATTAATTATTGACTGATTGTGTGAGTGATAGTTTTCTTGATTTAGTTTTTTGTTTATTTATCATATTTTTTAATGTCTATATTTATTAATGATATCTAACTGTCTTAATATCTCTATGTCCTCATCTATCCATTTATTTCAAGTTTCAAGTTTTATTTCTGCATTTTCCATAAACAATAACAAAAATAACAATGAATACATTTTAGCAATATAATGATAAGTAATACAAGTAGTAATTCACAATTAAATAAATATAAATAATCAATAGTACAATTAATCGTATTTGAAAAGAAAGAAAAGGGGGAGAATGCAGAAGACCGATATCGTAAGCAGAGCTTGAAATGATACCGGCCTTACAAAAGGAGGAGAGGAGACAGGAAGAAAGAGCGGGTGAAGAGAGTTGTGCAAAGTGATGAGTGCACTGCGCGAGCTCCTCAATCTATCAAATAATTTCCTTTTTATATACAAATAAACAATGAATATTTATATTAAAACAAAGTACATGTAGTATATTATGACCAGAATCTAATTTTCATCTTCACTTTAAAGGAAACAAGTGTTGTACATAATTTTAATGTTATAAGCAAGGAGTTCCACACATCGGGTCCATTGTGTCTTATTGATTTTTGTGCCAAAACAATTTTAGGGTCAGTTAATTGAAAATCCATAGAGTGCAGCGCTCAAAATACACGGGGGCGGTGGGCGATTCGCCCCCGTGAGCTACATAATCGCCCCCTTCAGGTTGCTCACGGGGGCGATTGCAAAATTAAAAATCGCCCCGGTGGAATTATAAAATAGAGATTATCTTTTCTGTTATAACTTTAACACAAGATTGAGTTTCAATTTTCAAACCTTAAACCAATGAAATGGAACTAAGATTAGCGTGCAAGGGGGGGGGGGGGGGGGGGGGGGGGGGGGGGGGGGGGGGGGGGGGGTAAGAGGTCACTTTTTTTTTTTTTTTTTGGTCCCCCCCAAAAAACGCAACGATTTAGCCGACCGCTGAATAAGCGGGGGGGGGGGGGGGGGTAAGAGGACACTTTTTTTTTTTTTTTTGGTATCGAAATTTGAAAATTTGACATTTTGCTCCGTTGGGGGGGGGGGGGGAGGGGGTGAGGTCAGCTTTTTAAGGTCAGCCATGGGAGGGGGGGGTTTAGGGAAATTTAGGGGGGGTTTACACACAAAAAAATACCAAAGGGGGGGGGTTAACCCCCTAAACCCCCCCCCTGTGTACGCGCCTGTATATGACTGCCAGTGCCTTAAAATGAAGTAACACGTCCACACAAATCTAAAAGTCCCTATTGAGAAAAAGAGGAAGATGAAGAGAACAAGATGTCGTGGAAGGATATGGTAACATGGGCAGATCTACGGGGGGGGGGGGGGGCAGGGGGTTTAACCCCTCCTCCCACCCCACCCCCCGGCCCCCCTGTGCTGCCAAGTGAAAATGTGATATTAAAGCGGGGGAGGGGGTGCTGGAGAGGAGGACTACTAATCTATTTTATTTTTTTCAGGGGGCGGGGGGAAGTGAAGCGCCGTTTTAGCTCTTTTTTTTTTCTTTTTAACTCTTACTTTCACCTATCTCAGATAACCCTAAGTTTTTGGTTGCTGCTTTATATGTATCTTGAAATATAATGGACTTGAACGGTTATATCATGTGTGCAACCCAACGTGTGCCTTGCATGCATGCATGCATACAAAATGTGTACAGTGTAGGTATAACACACAAACAAAATCAGTGAACCGTGTAGACAATAACAATCATTCATGCACCCACCCACACAAATTATGTTATCATAGTTCGTATAAGTAAGTACATGAACGCCAGTAACTGAGTTCAAGCGGAATACAAATTATAAAAAGATGAATAATATAAATGTGTACAGTTGTTTAAGCACAAGTCATTAAATTTGAATTTGAATACATCATGGAGTGATATTACACGTAACGTAACGAGTTTTATGCAAGCAGAGTAAAAGGCATATAATCAAGGTAACATAAAAATAAAGAGGTAGAATGTATGCGCACGGTTTTGCAAGCACGAAGACGAACCCGATTGTGTCTACCCATGCAGTCTCTAACAGTGAGGGTTCATCATAATGTTCATCATTATGTTCATCATAACACAATATTCATTATGTTAAGCTACCTCACAAATCTTGGCGCTTTACTGAGTACCGCTGAAGGCAGAAAAGTCTGGATCTCAAAATTAAACACTTTTAAGAGATGATTACTGCGGGCCCCAAACATATTTTGAAGAGGGCATTTGTTATATTTGATCAGTAAGGTTTCGACTTCGCAATGATATGAATTTTGCATCAATTCAAAACACTTTTTATTCTTCGGGTGACTACTTCAAAATTAAAACGGCCAGGATCTGGACTATACATACCTATATATCTATCCGGCTGTCTATCTGTCTACCCATCTATCTATCTATCCATCCATCAATCTCATAATGTGTGTGTATTCAAATGGGCAGGTTGAACCCAGACAGGCCCTATAAGGATCTCAAGGAATGCTTCAACTATTGTCCATTTTCCGATAGTCCTCAGGTGAGAAAACAAAGTCCGTTTCAATTTGCCGGACGGTTTAAAACTCAAATGCAGACCCAAAAAGAAAAAATATGAGGTGTTTTGTTGGTTTGTTTGTTTGTGTGTGTGTGTTTAAAGAGAAGGTTCAGTTCTGGGAAGAGATGAACAAATATTTGTGAACGTTATCATTGTTATTATGCAAGTGTGAACTAACATCAGAACATCAGATAAAAAAATGTTCCCTGAAAAGCATGGCTCTTCAAATGCTTTCATATTCTAAATATGGCATGTAACAACATAAAAATCGGGACGGATTTTTTATGCCACATGTTCGTGTAGCCCCATATACATTCTTTCGGTGTACAGTGCTTGTAACTTTACCAAGACTGGGCCAAATTTTTTATAATTTTGATGATTCAAGAACCCTGCAGTACAAAGCAATACTTATATGCTGGATGTTTATCCTTTTCTGATCGATTCCACACCGTTTCTTACAATTGCATGACCAGAACTCGAATCTTTTAAAGGATTAGAAAGGCACTCATAAATTATGATAAAAAATTTTTCCGATTTTGATACATTTCCCAGACTTGTGCCCTTTCCCTTCCTACTAGAGATTGATGTACCTGCCTCTGAAACGTGCTTCAGTGCTTGAAACAGAAAAAAACTCCGCAAAAAAATATAGATTTCAGATTATCAAGTACTATTTTGTATTTTCTTGTGGTGCTACAGAACTTCAATTTTTTTTAAATGGTCACAGAACTGACAGAACTATGTTCTAATATTACAAAATATATTACTTATTATAAGAAAAACATTGTTTAAAACAGAATGTATAGTACATATTATACATTACATAATAAACGATATATAATATATAATGTTATGATACATGTATACAGTGCGTCCCAGAAAAAACGAAACCGAGAAGTATCGATGTTTTATCATAACTTAATCACAACCATAATTAATGAATGATACATATTTGGAAAGCTTAGAGTCTCCTCTTTCAGTTGATGCTACTCAGATGATGCATATTTCACGCATGAGTGATTATAAGCAATTTGAAGGAAGGAAACCAAAAAGACATTTGGCGGGCGGTATCTGAATTTCGAAGAAAAGTTCACATTTCTAAAAAGTTGAGTTTCTGCCCTTTCATATGACACCTCAATCAGAAAAATGAGCGAAGAATAACAAAGTTCTGTTTGTTTAAAGTAGCCCTTACATTTTCATAATTTTAACAAACGAATTCGTTTTCACTGGGTGCCTGCCGTAGCAAAAAGCAGATTTGACAAAAGACTTAACTCCGTTTCGTTGACAATCAGCCATGCATGAAGACTCTCGTCTACGGCTGATTGTCAACGAAACGGAGTTAAGTCTTTGTTAATTTCGTTTATTGATACGGCGGGCAGCCAGTGAAAACGAATTCGTTTAATAAAATTATGGAAATGTAAGGGCTACTTTAAACAAACAGAACTTTGTTATTCCTCGCTCATTTTTCCTGATTGAGGTGTCATATGAAAGGGCAGAAACTCAACTTTCTAGAAATGTGAATTTTTCTTCGAAATTCAGATACCACCCGCCAAATGTCTTTTTGGTTTACTTCCTTCAAATTGCTGTTAATCACTCATGCGTGAAATATACATCATCTGAGTAGCATCACATGAAAGAGGAGACTCTAAGCTTTCCAAATATGTATCATTTATTAATTATAGTTGTGATTAAGTTATGATAGAACATCGATACTTCTCGGTTTCGTTTTTTCTGGGACGCACTGTATATTAACAAAATGCACAATAGATAATAAATAATAGATCACGGACAAGTCTACTTGATGTTTGTGTTCTCAGATGTATCCAGAAAAATCGTTGCCAGAATTTCAAAAATGCATGTCAGGCCTCTTCAATGCCGCCATTCCTCTTCATAACAGAGTGCTAGAAATCATGGCAAGGGGGCTCAACCTAGAGGTAGGTTTTCAACAGTGACTAACTGCTATTGCCAAACATAGCTTTTTGCCGCTATTGTCCAAACAATGCCGGTAGAGGGCGCATACAACCAATGAGGATGCCTCCAGATTTAATATTCTAATATTTGTCTTTTATAAAAAAAAAAAAAAAAATTAAAAAAAAGGCAATACACATGATGTACTTGCTGCCTGTATAATTCGAGGATCCTGTGTAAGTTAACTGTCCCATCTCTAGGTATATGAGCCTGAATTGTTTAGTAATAATCATACTAATAATGAATATAGTAGCAGTAGTAGTAGTAGTAGTAGTAGTAGTAGTATAAGGAGAAGAAGTAGTACTAGAAGTAGTAATAGTATAAGTAGTAGTAGTAGTAGTAATAACAATTATAATAATGATAGTAATCAATATAATAATGATTATTATAATAAAAATGATATTGATATTGATGATATTGATAAAAACAAAAATTTAAATGATAGTGATATTGTAGATGACGACAATAGTAAAAGTAATGTTAATACTAACAATGATAATGGAATTGATAACAATATTGATTACACTAGTACTACTACTAATAATAATGATAATAATAATAATAACAATAATAATGATACTAATTATAATAAGAGTAATAATAATAATAATAATTAGAAATGACAATAATAATGATGATAATGATCTCTCCCTAGAACCCATTTTATTTTGTGGAGAGACACAGGTGGGTAGGAACCAAACAGAGCCAAACCACACTCCGCACCCTCTATTACCCCTCCCTGGCAGACGTCAAGATCAAAGAGGACCAGGTCCGATGCGGGGAGCACTGCGACTATGGAGGGATTACTCTTCTGTTTCAGGACAAACAACCGGGTCTGGAGGTAAGGATGAATGAATGAAATAGGGGTGGGTTAAGAATCCTGTAGTTGGTGATGATAATGATGATGATATTGATGATAATGGTGAATGGTGATACTGACGATGATGTGATGATGATGATATAGTGATGACGATGATTGTTATTGATTGATTTGATTTGATTTGATTTATTTATTTCTGTTTGATTTTCTTTTTCTTTTGCATTTTTACAAATATATAACAAACAAATATTGCAAATTTACACATGACAAAAGAATATATGTAGAATAAAGTAAGGCTGGGTATGACTAATCTAGAACATCAAACAGGAGGGTTGACAAAATAAGCAAAGCTTGATAGTATGACTACCCTCAAAGGATACATAATAATACAAATATGGAGGAACAAAATATTGGTAAAAGGGGGAAAAGACAGAAAAAAGAAGAGAAAAGAACGAGGAGATGCACATCAATATTCACAGACTTATGTGGTAGTTGGATTTCAAATTGATATATAAAGATTTTAAAAAAGAAAAGAAAAGAAAATGCAAATTTGAATACTGAGTGGCCAACTTGGGATACAATAGAATGAGAATACTCGCGAGGTTCGGACAGTAAGAATGTGAAAGTAAGATCAGCCAGCTGGTTTTAAACCTGGGCCTGCGAGTCGGAGCCTTGAAATGTTTGTATAGAAGACAGCGTTGATGTGGTGGTGATGATTATGATGACGATATCGATGATGAAGGTGATGATGAGATCGATGGTGATAATGATGATAATGACGATATTGATGATGAAGGTGATGATGAGATGGTGATGATGATGATGACGATATTGATGATGAGGATGATACTGATGACGATGTGATGATGACGATGTGATGATGATGATGATGATGATGATAATGAAGTTGTGATGTGATAATGACGATGTGATGATGATGATGATGATAATGAAGTTGTGATGTGATGATGATGATGATGATGATGATTGTGATGTGGTGGTAGTGGTGATGATGACGATTGTGCTGTGGTGGTGATGATTGACGATATTGATGATGTAGGTGATGATGATTATGATAGTGATGATGGTGATGATGATGATGATGATGACGACATTGATGATGAATTAGGTAAAGGTGATGATGATTATGGTAGTGATGAGGATGACATTGACGATGGTGGTGACAATGGTGATGATATGTCCACTGTCTGCGAAGCTGAAATTAGATATATGGCTACGCACTGTTGGCAGGTTGACCATGAGATGGCGCTGTGCAACAGACGGTACATTATGGCAGAAAATTCATCTGTTCAGTGTCCCTTTAAAACTTGTTTTTTCTCAGGTGGAGAACGTTCATGGCAAGTGGATTCCTGCACCCCCGATAGAGGGCACGGTGGTTGTAAACATCGGCGAAATCATGCAGATGTGGACTTCGGACAAACTCATCGCTTGTGTAAGTATTATTAGCATTGGCAATAGGTCCAGATCAATACGGGGGGATGTGAATATGCCATGGTATAAACCTTGGGGTTGGCAAATCACCAAACCCTTTCGCGCCAATCATTCCACAAGCTCTGTCCTCCATCGATCCTCCCCCTTCATATCTCTCACCCCCCCTCTCTTTCTCTCTCTCTCGGCCATCCTCACTATCCCTGGTTTGTGTGTGTCATTTTTGCTCTTTCCTCTCATGTTTAAAGTTTATTTCATAGCATTCTGGATCAATAAATTATACCAAAAAACAAACAAACAAAAAACACGTCAAAAATGGGGACAGCGCTGTTAGAGGAAACACATTACAACAACGTAATACGTAATGCAAACATGGTTTCTGTAGGATACACAATAATTAACGAAGTAATGAAAATACCCTTGAGGTTGATTCCGTACATGACCTTTCCATCGTCTTCTGTCTTCGTTCTTTACCAGAAACACCGCGTGATGGTTCCTGCGGATCATATCGACCTTGACCGACAGTCCATCGCTTTCTTCGGAAACCCCGACAACGACGCTGTCCTCGAGTGCATCGACCAGTCCAACAAGTACCCTCCGACCACGATCATTGACCTGCTCAATATGAAGTACGAGCAGACAACAACAAAGAAACTGAATTCCAGGACCTACTGAAGGACAAATGGCTTCCATGTTGGTTTGGTTTTCGTTTCAATGATTCTCAAATAATTATATTTTAATAGAAACCAGGGGTGCTCATTGCCGTTGATTTAGTGAAAACGAAGTGAGTTTCCAATCATAGATTGTCCTAAATGTATTGTATAAGAGACTCGTTGACAACAAAATGTGTGTCTGTTATAGCGCCACCCATTGTTAGACGTGTTTGAGCCTTTTGTATATGTTGAGTCTAAATGTAAGACTTCTATTGGGGTTCGATCTTTTGGTATTTCTTTTTATTCAGATAATATTTCTATGGACATGAAGTGTAGATCGTGGTGAGACACAGGCACGTAGACACGGGGAGGGGCACGGGGGGGGGGGGGGAACTAACAACTTACCCCCCAACAAATTTCCAAAATCGATTGAACTTTTTTAGACCCCTCCCCAGGACTTCGATCGATTACATGTATGTGCCCCCCAAAAAAACCCATCAAACTCTGGCTACGATAGCATACTTTGTCAAATGTAAATTATTTGTTATTTGTCCCAGGAGAGGAGAAATGGAGTTATTCAGATGATGGGGTCGTTAAATATCGTATCTCATTATATTACGTATTCTGATCATTCTTTGGCAAAACTTTCAGGCCCCCCTAACACAAGAATAAGTTAGATATCGCTCATCAATCGCACAATCAATTCATATAAACATGCACCATTGGTTACTTAGCTGTTAGGAAAGAAGAAAGCTGCAAAAAAACCATGGATATCTCGAGGGATCATGAAATCTATTCGTGTAAAATATACAATGTATTCAAAAGTTATAAAATCAAATCATCGACAGGATCTTGTTGATAAGTACAAAAAATACAGAAATGTACTGACCACTCTGCTAAGAAATGCAAAAAGAAAGTACTATTGCGATTTGTTACAAAATAATGTGAAGGATACAAATAAAACATGGGCCATTATCAATGAATTGTTAGCTGGAAAAAACAGATCACCGAGAAGCGCTGAAGTGGACAGACTAATTAAGAAGGTTCATGGAGAAAATATGCAACTTACATCTCAATCTGATATTGTGAATGAATTTAATGACTTTTTTTGTAAATATTGGACCGAATTTAGCAATAACTGCAGTTGAAGTTAAGAGTCAAGTTCTGCTACTTGATACCAAAAAGGCTTGTGGTCACGATAACATTCCAGTGCAATTAAGTAGAGATAGTGCTCCATATATTTCACATCCACTGGCATATATATTTAACTTGTCATTAGAAACTGGCAAGGTTCCAGATGAAATAAAGATTGCAAAGGTTACTCCCCTACACAAAAAAGGGCCAAGAGAAGATCCAGGTAATTATAGACCAATATCGGTTTTACCTGTCATCGGTAAAGTTTTAGAAAAATTGATAAATATCAGATTAATACAATTTCTAGAAAAAATGATATATTCTATTACCATCAATATGGATTCCGAAAGAAATATAGCACTAAATTGTCTTTGATCAACTTGATAAATTCAACTTTGAAATCTATAGATCAGGTAAAAGTAACTCTGGGTATGTTCATCGACTTTAAAAAAAGCATTTGACACAATTAATCATAATATATTACTAGGTAAACTATCTAGGTATGGCATTTGAGGGTTACCTCTAGAATGGGTTAAGGATTATCTCAGTAACCGATTTCAGTTTGTTCAGTGTGGTCAAACGATATCAGAAAGGAAAAAGATAAGATGTGGTGTTCCACAAGAAACAGTATTAGGGCCAACTCTGTTTTTAATCTATATAAATGATTTGCCAACTGTTACTGATTATTTAAATTTTCGGCTATTTGCCGATGACTCCAATCAATTTCATACTTTTTCTGCTGACCAGGGTGAAATTGATGTAAATGAAGTGAATAACAACATACAGAAGATACATATGTGGTGCACTGCTAACAAACTTACAATCAATTCAATGAAAAATAATTTCATGTTAATATGTAGTAGGAGGAAAAAAATAGGTATAAATGGTAAACTAAAAATCGCTGGCGAGAAAATTAAAGAGGTTGATGTTGCCACTTTTGTTGGGGTTCACATTGATAGACATTTGTCTTGGAAGAGTCATATTCGTTTTGTAAATCAGTGTATTAGAAAGAAAGTTGGAGTGCTATTTAGATTGCGACACTTTGTTCCTAGCCGTACTTTGATATTATTATATAAAGCATTTATACAACCACATATTTCTTACGGAATAGAGATGTGGGGAAGCACTTATAAGACTAGCCTAAGAAGTATATTATATTCACAGAAAATGGCAGTTCGTGCCATAACATTTAGTGAATGGAGAACTCCTTCAGATCCATTATTTAAAAGATTGCGAATCCTAAATGTGTATAATTTACATGAGTTATCAATTTCTACTTTCATGTTTGATCTAGTCAATGGCAATTTGCCTCATATTTTGATAGAGTATTGTGACATTATAGAACATAGCTATTCCACAAGACAAAAAGAAGATGGACAATACGTCTTCCAAAATTAAGGACGACACAAGGTCAATTTTCATTGTCTTTTGTGGGCAGTGAATTTTGGAATAGATTACCTGTTGATGTCAGACTGACAAGGTCTAGAAGTAGGTTTCGGAATTCTGTTACAAGTCATTTGTTGAATAAGTCATGAATGAAATATCAAGTGTACACAATTCATAATTCATATTTTACATTATTAGTTTGTATATTGTAAGACATTGTTGAGTACTGATTCTTGTTTTGTCTAAGTATCGATTGTAACAGTAAATTCATTATTTTTTGTTTTGTTACGTTCTCTAAACTGATTTGTAACAAAATACTTTGTTTAGCTGTTTAAGGGGTTAGGCTCGACTAGCACATGTGCTATTATCTGGCCCCTTTTACCAACCAATAGTTTCTCTTTCTGTATATGTAATTATTATATAAAATGTATGGAATGTATTGCTGTTGGTAAATAAATCAAATCAAATCAAATCAAATATCCTTTGCGTTAAAGGGCCCTGATTGGGGTTGAGTATTAAATACATTTGTGTTTTTGTTTAAAGTCAAGATCTAAATATCTTTGTGTTCTACCCTTGTTTGCATGAAATGGAATTTATATTTTGTCCAATGTATTTCAATTGTTTGGAGTGAGTACATTTTCTAATGATTATATTTAGTGATGGCTGATGTGCCTAACCACCTGTCTTAACTGGTGAATGTCAGATATCAAGAAAGGTGAATTCAGTTTAACGACAGCATTTGATGAATAAAGCAAGTTTGGGGAGATGGAATGAGGCACTTGTAGCCATAAGGTATATTTTATATTCATGTTCAATTTGTTATCACGTACGACTAAGCAAGAAATTAAATTTGTGTACAAATGTACGCTAAATATACACACTATACATAGTCATGATTGTGTTACAATGATACAGAATAATACCAAATAACAAAAATATCGTGTTTCTCGTCCGGACTTTAAAAAAAAAGGAGGAGGCAGGGCATTACTATTCTGAAATTTCCTTGCCATTTTTTTCAAGATGGCTGCCATAGTAATTATAGCTGGCCGAGCCTATTAATTCACAGATATTGTGCTATGTGAGTATAATGATGCAATGTATGACAAAACAAATGATTTGTATCACTTTAGAAGCTATTTAAACAAAATGTATATCACAGGCCCTTTTTTTTTCCTTTTCTTCTGTAAAGGAGGCGGCGGCCAAAAAAAAAGGGGGGGGGGCGGGGACGAGAAACACTTCATTTTTGTTATTTGGCCTTATGTAGATTGCTGATAGACAAAATATTAAGTAGCCTCCTACCAGTCCCTGTTCGTACAATTGTAGTCAGTAGCGTACGCAGGATTTTTTTCAAGGGGGGGGGGGGGTTAACATTTTTAAATCGGGCCGAAAATTTCGCAACGACTCAGCCTTTTTTTTTTTTTCGGTCTCGAACATTTCTCAACGACTCGGCCAGCCGCTGAATAATCGGGGGGGGGGGGGTGGTAGGGGTAGAGGACATATTTTTTAATATTTTTTTTTGTCCCAACATTTTGAAAAGTCATCCATTAGCATAATTGTTTTAATTTGTATTTGTTGTATTAAACAAACAAAAAATCAACCCCCATCCCCTGCGTACGCGCCTGGTTGTAGTTGTACACACAATATTTGCAGATAAAAATATCAAATACATGTGCCTCAAAACATATTGTGAAAGTGAACTGTTTACATAATCTGGACGTATTACAACGAGTCTATTCATGTTACAAGGATTGCAATATTTGCATTCAACGGAACGCAACTATCTTCGAAAGATCGCCACAAGGGCAATTTCAGTATCCTATTTTATATATGTCACATAGAAATCATGTTCGGATTCCGTAATAGGTCATTGTCATGTTCACTCATTCCAATAGGCGACGCCCAAGGTTATTGGAATTGCCTTAGGTTAAAGAGAAACTCCAGTACTGGTAAAAAAAAGAAAATGAATTCTCACAGAATCAAACGAAACTTACACCGAATGTTCAAGATTACAAATAAATGTCATGTGCCAAACAATTTTGGAAGAAAATGTATACTGGCTGAGTAATGAGCATAGAAAGACAAGGAAATCAAGGTAGTACCAGCCCCGACAACATGCGTGTTGTCCCATGTATAGCTTTTTGTGTACGGTGCGTGTTACTTTACCAAAACTCGGTCAAATTTATTATGATTTTGATGACTCTAGAACCTTGCAGTGCACACCAATACTTACATTCTACATGATCTACTTTTTCTGATCCTTTCCACACCTTTTCTTTCACAATGCAATCGCATTACCAGTACTAAAGTTTAGCTTTAATATCTCAAAAGTAGTTGCGATAGCGGTATTGTTCTTCTTTTAACAATTCAATTCAAATCATTTCCATCCATAAAATATATGATTTAACACAGATAAAAACCATAGAAAACTTTCTCTTAATTCTAAGATTATTCTAAAGCCATTCAAAGCATTTCCCTTTCCTTATTGTAAACAAAAATGAAAATAATTATGATAATAATAATTGTACTAACAATGGTAAGACATAATGCTTAATATACACACAACATCATTGATACCAACTATACAATCCAGGAATAGAAACGGAAAACGAAGGAAAGCTATATAGAAATGAAATACACATACTGTACAATTTTACGCTTAGCAAAAATGTGAAAAGCCTATGCAGAAAGGTTAATAGAAATCGTTTCAATAAACAACTTAGATCTGGGCCCTGTTTAATAAAACTTGTTATCAATAACAAATGCAAAATTTCTATGGCAATACACATATTTGTAAAGCTTAGATCCTCCTCTTTTATTTGATGCAATGTGATTTTCTCTTTGAAATTCAGATACCGTCCGCCAAATGATTTTTCAGTTTCCTCTCTTCAAATTAATTTTAATCACTCATGCGTGAAATATGCATCATTTGAGTTGCATCAAATGAAAGAGGAGGCTCTAAGCTTTCCAAATATGTGTCATTTATTAATTATAAATGTGATTAATAATTAATAAATGACACATATTAATTATAAATGTGATTAAGTTATGATAAAACATCGATAACTCTCGGTTTCGTTTGTTCTGGGACGCACTGTATAACATTGCCGAACATATCAAGTCTTTAGAAAAGGGAATTATAGCACGTAAACTTCTTCAATTAACTGTTTTAAGCCAACTGTTTGTATAACCAACCCGTCCAGCTACACGACTTGTTAATATATGTATATAAACCAAAAGTTTGGAGTTTATTAAAACACTGCTTGTGTAAAACTTAGATATTGATGTTTTAAAAACGTTGTCATATAGCTAATCAAGACCGAAAATGAATAATTTTGCAAAATTGTTGTGTATGTGTCGTGCAATCCTAAAAGAAACCGTATTGTGTGTTTTGTGCCCATCGTTCAAGTCGGTACTAGTACAAAATGAAAAAAGGAAACCAAGGAAGTGAGTTATATTGGGGGTTTCATTTGCATGTCCATTCTTGGTTCTTTTCATAATTGTTATTTGTAGAGCTTCCTCATTGGAAACCCAT